AGGCTTCCTCATGAACCCAGTCTTCTCTTGGATAGGCGGAAGAATGGCCCCTCACTTCAGAGAGAGGGTTGGCCAGCATTCGTTTGTATCCAGGGGAGTTTCATGGTCTCCATCCAGGAGGGCCGGACCAGACAACTGCTTCCACTAACTAATCATGGCCAGGGAGAAAGGCAACAGCTCATTTATTCTAAAACCAAAGAGACTTTTTTGGGTAGCTGTTACCCAGCTCTAAACTGGCTTATAAATAATAGCGCGCTCAACATGTCATTCCATTACCTCAGCACACATTCCCTAAATTGCTCCTCTTGGTAGATGTGCCAGGAAGTGAGGTTACTCCAAGAGAGTCTTCTAAGGGCTAAGAATGTTTCAGGGATGAGACGGGGGTTGGATTCCAGCCAGTGCTTCTCTCTGGGGGTGCTGTTCAAATTTGACGCAGGATCATTCTTCGTTGTGTGGCCTGTCTGGAACAGTGTCCTGCCCACTAAATACCAGTAATCCCTTCTTCGCCATTAGACAGCCATTAAACACCCCCGCACACAGCCTAATGCCTCCAGGATGGCAGGGGTCTGGGGAGAGGAGCGCTGCTCTGGTGGGAATCCATTGGCACCTACCATACACTTTCCTACCCCCCAGGCTAAAATTACTGCGGCCTTGCTGTGGGCACTAGGACTTTAGGCCCTCAATGACTTGTTTGTCTCTGCATTTAACAAGCCATAGATGGAATTCTCTGGGGAGAATCCTGGCTCTACCTCTAGGAGCTTCCTCCCTTTCCTCCCAAGAGAGGGTGGCTTTCAGTCGGGCAAATCCTTTGACGACTCCTCATACCCACGTCAGCATGTAGACCTTTCTCTTATCTCATCATTTGTCTGAAGAACCCTTATGGGTCAGTATTTAACAGACAACATTGTCACAACACATCATCTCAAGTTCACTGTCACCTCCTATGTATCAACAACACAGCAAAAGCCAACACTGGTTGCCTTGGGAGAGGGGAACTGGTTGGGAAATAAGTGGATTTTTCACTGTACATTCTTTTGTACTTTTTGAATATTCAGTCCTGGACATACTTATAATCCACTCAAAAACAGAAATTAAATTATGGGAATCTAAGCAGAGAGAAGCAAGGATTAGAGAAGACAAAGGAAAATGTACTTCAAGCCTCCAGAGAGCCTAAATGTCCTCTGGATCAGAGCAGCCCACCGGAGCTGGTATCTGGCACCCAAACTAATGGTTCTGGTTTATGTCCAGTTCTGAATTATGCTTTGTGTTGAGTCCATATTGAGGGGTAATAGTCAGGAGTATATCCAATCCTATGAAACTGGTTGTTCTGTCTGCTCGGGAATGTTCTTGAGGACATTGTTTATTATATCACACCAACGTGACCTTTGTATAGTCCCTAGGGAGGTATTCTTGTCTGTCATAATCCCAAGAACAGTTGGTTTGCATTTGCTTTCTGGACACTGAATTATGTAAACATGTAGGTTCTAGAAAGCATGAATGTGTGGTCATATTTCAATTTAATTCTTGACTTTTGAACTCCCCGCTGTTGTTCTCTTTCTTCTTCTTTTGCTCCTGCATTTGATTCATGACTTCTTGTTGTATCCCATATATTCCTACAAACTTCCCTTAAACTATTTCTGGAAAAGGTGGGAGTATAGATGAATAAACTCCTAGAGAGAATAGGAAAAAAAAAAACCAAACCAAAATGCTAAGACTATTCAAAAAGTATCCTCTTTTGGGGGCTCCTGAGCGGCTCAGTGGGTTGAGCATCTGACTCTTGGTTTTAGGTTGGGTCATGATCTCAGGGTTGTGGGCTCTAGCCCTGCGTCAGGCTCTGTGCTCAGAGTGGAGACTGCTTGGGATTCTCTCTCTCCCTCTTCCTCGGCCTACCCTCCCTCCCCCTCTACCCCACCCCCGCACGCACTCTCTCTCTCAAATGAAAACGTAAATCTTAAAAAAAAACCTCCTTTTCTAGGACTTTCCTTTTTTCTAGACAGTTAAAATGGAAAAACAAATTTCCTCTTGACTGTTTTTTTCCATTTTGTTCTGGACATTGATACATCTAAATCTAAGTTAGGGGTGCCTGGGTGGCTCAGTTGGTTAAGCGACTGCCTTCGGCTCAGGTCATGATCCTGGAGTCCCGGGATCGAGTCCTGCATCAGGCTCCCTGCTCAGCGGGGAGTCTGCTTCTCCCTCTGACCCTCTTCCCCTCGTGCTCTCTCTCTCTCAAATAAATAAATAAAATCTTAAAATCAATCAATCAATCAATCAATCAATCTAAGTCAGTGGTTCTTAACTGGACGGGAGGAGGCGGGGGGGTGGTTTTGCTTCTCAGGGGATATTGGTGTCTGGAAACATTTTTGATTATCATGACTGAGGTGGTGCCAGTGCTGTTGGCATCCAGTGGGTAGTGACCAGGAATGCTGTTAAACATCCTACAATGCACAAGACAGCCACGCCCCCTCCCCCAGCAAAGAATTGTCTGATCCAATATATCAATAGTGTGGAGATGGAGAAATCCTGGTCTAAATATACCTAACTAAAATAATCTTCTGTAAAGCCTTAGTATATCCTCATGTTCCTAAATTAATAAAGTGACTTTAAATTTGAAAAGGGCACTGTATATGTTAAATGTACTCAAACTGTCTTCCGTTTTTATATCATTACCCTCCACCTTTACCCCATGCCCCATCCTCAAAATCTTCCTGCTCCCTACTCCATGGCTTTGCTGACTCTGAAAACTTGTTGTCCCCTGCATGGGTACCAATAAGACCCTATACTTGGGAAAGGCTCTTTCTGGCCCTAGCTGTCCGCCACTCCGCCCCCTCCGGGCGCTGGGCATCTGCCCCATTTTACCTGGGGCTGGGTTGCTTCCAGCTTGTGCCCACTGCCCCTCCCTCTGATGTTGGGGAGAATAAGGTGGGAAAGACTGTTTGGAAAGGTTTCAGGACGGGCCTAGAAGAGGCCCAAATGTGCAGCCACCTAGCCCGGGTAGTACCAGTGGGAGGGCCTTGGGGTGTCTTTTGTCCACACCAGCTGGGTTGGCAGGCCAAGCCCGAGGCTCCCTGTCAGAACCGTTTACAGAGATGGGCACCTCAGCCGAGCCCTGAAGACAGCAGAGGCTGACTCTTTCCACTCAGCACAGGCCAACGGGCCCCATGCCCTGCCCGGAGGTAGCACCTCACACAGCCTGAGAGATGGCCTCTGGCCCTGGTCCTAAGAGTCTGCCTGGGGCAGAGGACCAGCTGACCCAGCAATCTAATGGAGAACCAGGGGCCTTGCAATTCCTGTACGCTGCTGAGCTGGGCCTCCGCCAGGGTCCCCCCTGCGGGTGAGTGTCTGCGGAGGGCGTGCGTCGTTGCGCGCATGTGCGTGGAGACGTCAGTTTCTCACAAATGGCTGGCGAGTTGGCTTTGAGCCGTTCTAGCTCAGGATTCAAGGGCCGTAGATTTTATCCTGAGGTGTGGCCTCTTGGAGTTTCAAATGGAAAGCCAGGAGGGTTTGCCCCGCTCCTCTACCTTGGTGGAATCAATCTCGAACTCTTTCTCTGCCACCCTGTTTGGCAGCCCGCGCCTCTGCTCAGCTGTCAGACCTCCAGCTCTGGCCTTCTCCTGGGCTCCTGCCACACTCCTACTTGCAGAGCTCGGCCCGCAGCCTCCGATTGGAGGGGAGTCTTCCTCTGCTGGGGCGTCCTTCCTTCCAGGAGACCCACCTTCCATCTTCAGCCACTCTGGAGTCCCAGACTCTGTCCTCTGCCTCTTCAGGGCATAAAGGCTGGGACTTCCCAGCTGTCCCCTGCCCTTTAGCCTGGGCAGAGGGCCCTCAGGAAATAATCCATTTACATGTAGATGGTTCCTTTCATTCAAGGATTGGGTCCTTTCCGTTGCTGCCTGCTTTGGGGTACTTTATAGCGCTTTCCAGGAGTCGTTTTTCATATTTTGTTTATAATTTTTCCCCGTGGGGTGATTCATGTGATACAAACAACTGGGCCACCAGGGGCCACCCTTTCACTTCCCCTTACCTGTATTCAAAGTGCGTCGCTTTGATCTCTTGTGCTCACAGTCCGCTGAGGTGGGGCAGGGGACACATTCACAGGGCGGAGCTTAGGGCAGAGCTGGCCTCGCAGGGGTGGCCTCGCTGCGGTGGACTCGTTGGGGCGGGCTGCGCAGAACAGGTGTTGAGTCCAGCTGTGAGAGCTGGGCAGGACTTGAGAGCAGACAGGGCAAGACTTGGGCACTTGGTGACTTGGGCACTGCTGAGCTCAAGGCGGGGCCAGCGAGCAAACCAACCTCAGCCTGGCTGAGGTTTGGAGGCGGGGGGTCTGAGCAGAAAATACACCATCCTGGGTAGACTCAACATGAAGAAACAGAGGCAGCCAGGGAGGCCTTAGACTTCAAGCATTGTCCAGTTGCCCCTGTACTGATCTGTGAAGGCTGTTCACTAAGGTGCTCCCACCCAGGGTGCTCCCCATTCCCTGACTCTTCTGTGGCCCAAGGCTGTTTCCCAGGCTGGCTGTGAGCCCAAGATCTCTGGAGAGGGAGACTTAGGGGGCACCTTCCACAAAGGAGCAGATGGGCGCAGAAATGTATAGGGATGTAGTGGCGCCAGAAGCCAAACCGAAAGGCGTACCCTCAATAGTTCCATTCAAAGGACACACACACACACACACACACACAAAGTGGTGGACACATCCCTGCTAAATATGGGTCAGCACCCCCAGGCTGCAGTGAGCAGACTCCTAGTCATTCCAGCACCCAGCACTGCATGTCGATTCTTTGAGCCCAATATTTTTATCCTCTCAAGAACACACAATCGGCTTTGGGGCCACAAAGGAGGTTTAGGTGGGGGCTTGGACATCTCTAATCTCAAAACGTTGTCCTTAGGAGGCTTAGGATCAGTACTGATCATTCAGGGAGCCTGAAAGGGGCTTTAGAGGGCAGGGGAGAAGTGGTGGTGGGACGGTAATCTATAAGAGGAATCAGAGAGTGTGGGGACATCCCATGAGTAAGATGTCAGGGGAGGAGGAGTTTTATCTGTTCAAGAACATCTCCTTGGTGGGGCCATGGGATGGGCCTCAGTACCACATTGCCCCTATCTGGGCCTTCCACCTCCAAGCAGTCTTCATGGGCTTTGTCTTCTTTGCAGGGACACCACTCAATGCCTCGGTGCTGGTGGCCACCCTGCGCTACAAGAAGTTGCGACAGCCACTCAACTATATTCTGGTCAATGTGTCCCTGGGGGGCTTCCTCTACTGCATCTCTGTCTTCAGTGTCTTCATCGCCAGCTGTCAGGGATACTTCATCTTTGGCCGCCATGTTTGTGCTTTGGAGGCCTTCCTGGGCTCTACGGCAGGTACTGAAGGGGAAGGAGACTGGGGGGAGACAAAGGACTGCTCCAGGATTGGAACCAGGGACCAGACTGTTGGCTTAGAGTGGGCCCCTAAAGAGGAGCCTGGGGAAAAGGAGTTTGGTGCTCTTTATCATTGGGTATAAAGTAGCTGGCACTAGAAGTTTGACCAAGTCCCAAACTCCACACCAACCATCAGTCCCCATGCTTGCTCCACCATCTGTATTCCATTCTGCCTGCCAGGCTGGGTGGGACTGTCAACCCCAATTACCCTCATGTTTCACTACAGGTCTGGTGACAGGCTGGTCACTGGCCTTCCTGGCCTTTGAGCGCTACATGGTCATCTGTAAGCCCTTCGGCAATTTCCGCTTCAGCTCCAAGCACGCACTGATGGTGGTCCTGGCTACCTGGACCATTGGTATTGGCGTCTCCATCCCACCCTTCTTTGGCTGGAGCCGGTGAGAGTGTAGGGCAGTGGTGCTGAGCTAGGAGCTCAAGCTGATGTGGGTGGAAAGAGTTGGGTATAACCTTAGTCTTTGACCTCTTATTTATTTATTTATTTGAGAGAGAGAGAGAGGGAGCACAGGGGTCGGGGAGGGGCAGAGGGAGAAGGAGTCTTAAGCAGACTCCGCCCTGAACGTGGAACCAGATGCGGGACTCGATCTCACAACCCTGAGATCACTACTGCAGCCAAAACCAAGGGTCAGATGCTTAACTGACTGCGCCACCCAGGCACCCCTGACTTCCACTTTTAAAGAGCTGGTAGAGTAGGTGAGGGCAAGGGCTGTGGGAGGCAAGTGCTAATGTTTACCCCGCAGTTGGAATTGCTATAGCCTCAGCTGGTAAGGTCAGAAACCGCCCCTGCATGAAGTCCTTGAGCATCCTCCAAGTGGAGAGCACAGTCCAGGAATCTCAGCTCCCACCCCACTCATTCTTGTGCTGAGCCCCGCAGCGGGCAAGTGCTTGTCCGGTGGGTGAGTGCTTGGTCCCTTGCAGGTTCATCCCTGAGGGCCTGCAGTGTTCCTGTGGCCCCGACTGGTACACCGTGGGCACCAAATACCGCAGCGAGTACTATACCTGGTTCCTCTTCATCTTCTGCTTCATTGTGCCTCTCTCCCTCATCTGCTTCTGCTACTCGCAGCTGCTGGGAGCCCTCAGAGCTGTGAGTGATTTTGGTGAGGGTCAGGGAGGAGGGGAGTCAGGGGGCTCCAGAAGAGAGCGAAGAGCTGGTGAGTGCTTTAGAACAGAAGACATCTGGAAATGTCCACAGCCAGGTAGAGGGGATATTGAAAGCAGTGAAGGAAGTGGGGCAGGGAGTATGATGAAATGGTGTGAAGAGTAGGGCGGGGTCCTCTCTGCTCAAACGTGTGGCAAGAGATTCATATGATCCCTTCCAAAGTCACAGACCAGAGAGCCATTCTCCATCCCACCTTCCTCAAGGAAGGAGAGCAAGAGGCGCTAGGCCAGAAGCTGGGACATAAGAGAGGCAACTGGAGTGGATGCCCCCCTGGTAGGAAAGGGCGGAGAGGTGGGGAGTTGAGGGCCGGGGAGAAGAGAATGTCTCTCTGTGCTCTGCCCAGGTTGCAGCCCAGCAACAGGAGTCTGCTTCAACCCAGAAGGCCGAGCGGGAGGTGAGCCGGATGGTGGTAGTGATGGTGGGCTCCTTCTGTCTCTGTTACACGCCCTATGCTGCAATGGCCATGTATATGGTCAACAACCGGAACCACGGGCTGGACTTACGGCTTGTCACCATTCCTGCCTTCTTCTCCAAGAGTGCTTGTGTCTACAACCCCATCATCTACTGCTTTATGAATAAGCAGGTAAAGCTCTCTATTTACATTCCTATGAGACTCCAGTTCGTAAGACCTGGTTCTTTTCTCACCAACAACTTTTGATTCAGAGCACCTTGGACTCTACTCAAAAGGTTTCTAAAGGTGAACAAGGAAAGCCCTTGGTAAGCACAGGGAGACAGGTGTGGTCATCGAGACAAGGTAATAGAACCCGGAGAAAACAGAACTTGAGCCCTAAAAATCAGGTTGCTCCAAAGGGCAGGATGAGAAGTGAAAGGGTTTTGTTTTCTTGAAAAACTAATAGATTAATCATTCCCCTAAATTCCTAGTCCTTCCACTTCACAAGTTCTTAATCCTTTCCCTTCCAACTTCCAGTCTGCAGGAGCATATGCAAAAGCACAGAAATCATCACACATGCACACATCTCTAACACAGTTTATCATCTGAAGGTACCAAGTGGCCACCTATCCCAAATCCTGTATCTGAGCTAATAAAAACCCAAACTCAGATAAATCTAGGAGAGTTCCTGTCTTGTGGGGCAAACTCCCTGCTTTGAGAATTATTAATAGCTATTTTGTTTCCTCAGTCCACAGAGATGCATTCAAAACTTCTGGATGGGAACAAAATTGGCAATTCTTTCCAATTGGGAGCACCCTCTCATAATGGTGGGGTGTGTGGGCAGGCCTACACTGGCATTGCTTTTGAGGTTTCCCAACAGTCAAGTCTCTGAGCCAAAATATGTAGGGATTATTATTGTAGACCTAGGAGTAGCTCTAAGGATTGCGAAGATGTATTCAAAACCACCTGAGGAGGGGCACCTGGCTGGGTGCCTCAGTCAGTTAAGCGTCTGCCTTCGGCTCAGGTCATGATTTCCGGGTCCTGGGATCGAGCCCTGAGTAGGGCTTCATGCTCAGCATGGAGTCTGTTTCTCTCTCTCTGCTCCCCCCGCCCCCTGCTCATTCTCTGGTAAATAAAATCTTTAAAAGAAAAAACACGTGAGGAGATCCTGGGTATAAGGCATTGCACAAGGCTTGGGGATACAAAGAATGAGATCTCTTTGTTCCCCACGTTTCTTGATGTCACCTCCTCTGTACTGGCCTGCAAGGGGCTATCTCCAATTCTGTCCTTTCCTTCCAGTTCCGAGCCTGCATCATGGAGATGGTGTGTGGGAAATCCATGACAGATGATTCTGTAATATCCAGCTCCCAGAAAACAGAAGTCTCTACTGTTTCTCCCAGTCAAGTTGGCCCCAACTAAGGAGCCATATTGGCTTATTTGCAACAACTAGGATTTTACATTTAGGGAAATTTCTTCTTTCTCTCTCAAAAACCAAACTACTAACAAATGCAGAAAAAGATGGGAAGGGTATAATGGCAATTCGGGGAGTCCACTTTCCATTTTCCTACCATTCCTTTCTCACCCACAAAACTACTGTTCCAACCGGGTCTACTTTAGACCACTCCAAAGGCCATGTCAACAATCCTCAATTTCTACTCCTAAGTGGCATCATTCATAGCACTTGGAAAACTGATTTATGAGGCAACTATAAAGGAGTATGACGGATTTTTCAGTGTATGGATAATAATCTTCTTTTTGTAATTTTTTTTTCCTATTGAGGATCTGTTCTGAAGTAATACATTCTGAATTAGAACAACCTTAAAACACCTTAGAAATCGGATAGGGCGCCTGGGTGGCTCAGTCGATTAAGCGGCTGCCTTCGGCTCAGGTCATGATCCCAGGGTCCTGGGATCGAGCCCCGCATCGGGCTGCTCAGCAGAGACCCTACTTCTCCCTCTCCCTCTGCCTGCCGCTCCCCCTGCTTGTGCTGTGTCAAATAAATAAAATCTTTAAAAAAAAAAAAAAATCGGAGAGATATAAAGAAAAAACCAAAACCTTGAGTAGGCCCAAAATACGAGTTTGAAAGAACTTCTTTATGCCATCACTGCCAATAATCCTATAGTTCTGGCAGGGACAGCCATGTCCAGAAGCTCCTGAGCTAGCACGAATTATTCCAGGTGCTCCCCACCCAATTTGGCTAAACCTGTCTTAAGCTGCATTATTTAGTAAAGTTAATGGTTAATTCCCTTCATGTTCTCAAAATGTACACATCTTAATACCATTTATGAACTATACCAAAATGTTCAAAAAACTGTTTTACTTTATACTTTATGCTTCCCCTCTGCACCCCCTGAAAAAGAGCCTTTTTGAAATAAAAGTCAGAATAAATGCTGTGTGCATTCAGGAATGGCTTGTGTTTGGTATCAGGTAATTATGTAATGAGCAGCTGGACTCCTCTCCAGTTACATGGCCCTGAGGAAAGCAAAGAGGGGTTACAGCTGTAGTGGGGAAGATGCCAGAAGATTTCAGAAATAAAAAAGGAAGAGCTAATCCGGGAGAAGGCAGAACTTCTCCGGGATGGGGAGGGTGTATGGTAAACCTTCTAGGAGACCTCTGTTTCTTGATATTTTACAGCACCCATCATTGTAAGCAAGAGTTCCATTTCTTAAGAGAATAAAGGAATACGCATACCCCACAATGAATGTAAACAGTTTTATTTAGAAACAGATAGGTACCTGTTTGCATTATAGAATATAAAACTTGGTTTACACTCTATAAAAAATAACCAGTATCCAAATTCAAGAGAGCTAGCATTCACAGAACACACAATGTGGGTGTGTAGCTACTGTTCACCAGCCTCAGGCTTGACTTAAACCAGAAAGATAATCCAGGGGGATCATTAGAGATTATTAGAGTACGCTTGCTGCTGAGCACCCAGCATCCAGAAGTTGCCATTTTAGCATATGAAGGTTTGCTTTCTAAGTGCATAACTTTAACATAAGGCCTGGGTTCTCTGTACCTAGTGAGCTGCAAGGCTCTCCTGCCACACAGTTCATGATGTGCCCTCTCTAATCCTGGGTTGACGTTATTATCTTTGATCTTCTTAATGATAAAAATGGGGAATCTGGAGAGCAGAGAATTTACATTCCCCTATATTGGGGTTAAAAAGAGTGTATCCACTCTCAAGAGCTCAATGCAAAGGCCAGGATCAAGTTCCGTGATAATCTGGCTTTTTGCCAGGCCAAGTAGTCCACCTCAACATGATCATGGAAGACCAAAGGATACACCTAGGTTCAGATTATAATAATCACCCAGCACCACCTGAATGTATTATCCAGAAAGATACATGAAATAATAAAGGTTAGATATACATATATTTATCATCATCTTAGCAACCTGAGGGCTAAAAAAGTTTGGAATACAATAATTCTTCTCAAAAGAGGTCCATCTGTAAGAAAAGGACCAAAAAAGAGTTTGTGTTACATAAAATATGGGTAAAGTGAGTTGGGAACAGAAGGCAGCTTCTTCAGCTCTTTCTACAATGTCCCTCTCTTTGACAAGGATTGGCAATCTGCTGCTCCATGATAAACTTTTTTTGGGGCCGCGGGGAGAGGGGGCGACGGGTCAAAGGCAAGAAGGTTGAACAATGGTCCTCAAACCAAAGAGTCCTCTCAGTAGGCCCTCTCATCTTGGAGTCTGAGTTCAAGCTCTTCAGCTGACACAGAAATAGGCCTGGTAGTAAGTGGTTAGCATTCTGAGGTATGAGGATCCCTGGTAAATTCAGCAGCATGTGGTTTTTGGAAACCAGCCCACAAGATAAGAACACTGCAACCAAGCTCCTAACTAATACTGCTATTTAACCACTGTCTGAAAGAGAAAGGGAAGAAAAAAAAAATCCCCAATACAGTGGGAGGTTGTAAGCTTCATATGAGGTGGTCCAAATAATCTCTTCATTTCATCTCAGGGTTTCTTAAGACAACCCTCATTCAGTGATCATTTCTCTCGTTAAAGGCACTTTCAATGAAATGACATAATTGGAAAGGAGTACATTTTAACTATGTAGTGAAAGCAAGATTAATTCCTAGGAACACCTGGGGAAATAGGAGCTGAACGGGGCACTTACAGTGATTCAACAGGCAAGAAAGTCTTGAGCACTTCAACAGATGCACACCCAGAAAAAAGTGTGTGCCCTGAAAACACTTGTATTTTTCCCTTAGTTTTCCAGCTGTTTCTATGTATAGCTCTGTAAAGAAAGAGATCACACTCACTACTTGATTGATTTTCAAGACACTGGCCCTAACTCTTCCCACCACAGCTGTGCTTGGCAAAATTAGCAAACAGCTAGTCTTACTGGGAAGAAAAAAAACTGAATGAAATCAAGACGAGCCAAGCTTTCTGACAGCACAGGAATCGGTCCTTGCCCAGATGATGCCATGATCAATTGCTGGACTTAGAGCAACTGAATGGAATATGTGGCCCCTACTACTTATGAAACATACTTTTCAACAGGCAAGATTAAGTGTTGTCTCTCTAAATATAATTGTGGGGTATATTTTTTTCCCTTTTCTCTCTCCTAAACATTTCTTATTGATCTCAGGCTTAAAAAATTAGTTAAGTCAGAATTACAAAAATCATATGGCAAGGGTTGAGAAAGAGTGAAGGGCTAACGTTTGCCTACAAGCGTGAGTTGAGGATGTTGATCCTTCATATCATACTCCCAACCAGAGAACAAATACAAAAATAAACACACCATGTTATACATAATACAAAGTGTAAATCTACAAACACAAGTGTACTAATTAGAGTTGTTCCTCAGAAGCACAGTTCCCTCCAGTGCCTCAAAGAAGAGGAGGAATGGGGACGGGATGGTTTTCATTACGCCTTTTCAGGTCTTAAAAGTTTGTATTAACAGTCTCAGTAGCGCAAACAATTTCATGTGAAACCAGAAGCTGTAAAAATAAATTACTTTTGAAGAAATGTGGGTTCTTCTGTCTGCAGCTCAGAACTCATCATGTCGTACTAAGGCCTCACCAAAATCTGTGGCCTGGCTACCCACAAATAAATCATACTTGTCAACAATCTCCTCCTTGGTAAGCTTGCCATCCTGAAATTAGAGAGAAGAGTGAATCGAGGCAAAAACGATTTCCCATTCCAAATTTAGAAACACCGCTACAGAACAAAAGGGGTTAGTCAGGATTTAAAATTCTAATTCCCACTAAATTAAATGTGAACTCAACCTTCACCCCCAACCCTCCACAACATACACACAAAGAGAGAAGAAAATAGCAATTAATACATTTTTCTTATCAAGAAAGTTAAAAGTGGAAGGACGGGAATAATACAGCTCAATAACTTAATGCATCAAGCAAAATGTGGGCCATCTCCTACGTATAGGTAAGAGACAGGAAGAACCAGGGAAAATGCTTTAAAGTGAATCCAGTCATTGCCTAACAGGAACAATGAAATCTGCTAACATCCCCATAGTCTTCACCCCTGCTATGCCCTAGCCACCAACAGATTCCAGACACAACCCCAAATGAAGGCTCAGACCTCAGCTCAAAAATTATCTAGGCCGGATTCACAAGGGATGACCTTGGGAGTTTCCTCTTCCCACGTATCTCAGGACACAGCACCTGGCTACTGAAGTGACTGAAGCAAGAACTCAAAACAGACTGTGCCCTAAAAAGGCTCGGATGATAAGACAGTGCATTTGAAACAGAAGACTGGCCTAGATAGGAGAACGTTCAGAATACACCCCCCCCATCTTTAGACTGATTTTCAGCTTACTCTAAGCAGAGCATTAAAACTGCTGAAAAGGTGATGGCTTAGTGAGACTACCACTCTTTTTATGAAACAAATGCCTCAGCTAATTGATCAAGGAAAATTTTAACAAGCTCTATATAAATGCTGATTTACAACCCACTAAAAAGAACTTAATTTTAAAAAGTGCATTTAAGAAGGAAATGACCAACTTTGAGCAGGCAAAATGAGCCTGTAATAGGTAAAAACACAAAGGAGGTAAGAAAAAAAAAGCAGAGAAAACTTCCTGGGGATCCAAAGAGAACAGATGACGCACGCTGGACACAGGCGATATACAGAGGCTCTTTTCTGAAGCCAAATGCCTCCAATGGTGTGAACACTGGGCAAAGGGATTTCTAAAATGAGATCAGATAGCTAGCACTGCCCTGTTAAGTTTTCAACTGTCAACTTAAGATCTGTAGCAGACTTAGACCAGTGAAGACCTGACGTGCTCTAGGTACCTCAACAGGAACGTTTTAGCCAATCCCCCACAAACAGACTTTGATCACTACTAGGCTGTTTGGGCCTGGCCAGACTTACCTTGTTCTGGTCTGATTCATAGACTAGGTGCCTGGCCTCTGCCTCCGCGTGATCGTAGTCTGAGGGGAGGATCCAGTCCTTGGTCTCCTCCTTGTCCATCTTCCCATCACGATTCTTATCCCGAAACTCCACGAACTGCTCCCTCTCCGTCTTTACCCACTCCGGCTCGTCGGCATTCCCATCATGGCTGTACATGTCACCTGCGCGCACAAACGGACACACTGCAAAAGGCCAGTCTGTCTCTTTCCCCAGACCGCCACATGGTAATCTGGCTTAACTCTTCTTCCTCATCCACCTTCCAGCTCATCTGTCTGGGACCTAGTAGCAGTTACAAGGGTATTTTAGGTCTGAAGCCTTGGG